GCCATGAACGGACAACGGAGAATGCAACGAATTTAACAATAACAACAAGAACGAGAACAACATTAATCAACGAAAAGAAAGGGACTTCGACCGCGTGCGGGTCGCCGGCCCGTCCCGGACGAGCGGCGGCCCCCCTGCAGACCGAGAACGCGACGGGGTTTTAGGAGCGACAGGATCAAAACCGCCTGTCGCTATTGGAGGCCCGCCAACGCCAAGGTCCCGTTTCCCCGAAGGACCAGAGTCCGGGGCGTCCCGCAACCGTGTCTGTGGTGGGGTTGGAGGGGCGGCGGGGCCAGGTGTCCCCGCAGCCGTGGTAGGCCCACCCAGAGCAGAGTCCCCTGCCTCCTGCAGTGTCACGGCCGGTTTGTCTGTAAAAGGCACGACAGGCGCTCTTGCAGGGTCAACAGGCACAGGCAAGGGTGCGTCGGCAGCAACAGACACCGGCAAGGCAACATCAGGAGATGAGGCATCCGTTCGAGGGGCCACGTATGGTTTTAAGCGAGACGTATGGACGTACCAGCGCCGAGATCCGAACCGAATGCGCGCGGACTGCGGGTTGGGAACCTCGATGAGCCTAACAGGCCCCTGCCATTGTTTATGTAATTTAGGGGAGGTCCCTGCCTGCACCTGCGGGCAATGCAGCCAAGCCATGTCCCCCACCTTCTAGGGGTACTTCCCCTTCGAGCGTCGAGCGCACCGTTCGTTCCGGGCCTGGGTTTTGGCCGTAGCCTTGCGGGCCCCCTCCCGCGCCTCAGCGACGCGGCGAACGGCGTCCTGAATGTAATCAGGGAGAGGCTTAATAGGTCCTCTCACTCCTGTTCCCAACTGCACATCCATTGGCGGCACGTTTTCGCGACCGTACATGAAAAAAAAACGGAGAATATCCTGTGGACGCGTGAGGCGTCATCTGGTATGCCGAGAGTACCCCAGGGATGTGCAAATCCCAGTCCGCTTGCTTTTCATTAACCGTGTGACACAGAGTCCGATTTAGCCGTTCAACCATGCCATCCGTCTGCGGGTGGTAGGGAGATGTCTGGATCTTTTTAGTTCCCAGAGCCGCGCACACCTTCCCCAACAATTTCGAAGAAAAATTCCGGCCCTGATCCGTGAGCAGCCTCTCCGGCGCCCCCTTGTCCATGACATATCCGAATAGAAAGGCGTCCGTAATGGACGCCGCCGACTGGTCGGGCAAGGGCCAGGCCATCGGCCAGCGGGAGAGATACTCCACCCCAACTAGCAAGTATTTATTACCCTTAGCGGATGGCAGGAAGGGTCCCAAAATATCCAACGCCACCAACTCGTTAAATCGAGACACTTGAATAGACTGTATCGGCGGCACATATGGGTGTTTAGGCGGCTTCCGCCGGGCACATTCGGGACACGCATGAACGTGCCCGACGACATCCGTCGTCATGCCGTGCCAGAAGTAGTCTCGCTGCAACGTCAATAAGGTCTTCTGCACCCCCAGGTGTAACAGCGTGTCGCAATGCAGAGTCCTAACCAATTCGTACCGTAACGACGCCGGTACAACAAGACGCCAGCGATCCTGTAACCCCTCCCTCCACATCAGCAGTCCATCGCGGAGAGCGGTCCCCGGCGTCCCCCCGGAAACCAGTCCCCCCCCTCCCTTTGCAGCCCGACTCCGCAGGGTCCCCAACGAGTCGTCAAGCATTTGTTCACGAATCCATACAGCCTGTGGAAGGTTCAAAATCCCATCGGCCGGTCCCGGGGCACACTGGAGCCTCAGGCACCTCGACCGCCAACGCAATAGGCCAAGGGGGCTGCTGGATCGGCGTACACCTATGCGTCCCCGACGCGCAAGCGCAAGGGGATCGCTGCAGTAACCTAGAGAGCGCGTCCGCATTCGCGTGACGCGCCCCCTTCCGATGTTGAATTTGGAAGGAAAACTCCTGCAGAGTGTCCAACCATCATGCCAGCTGGCCAGATGGTTGGTCTACCTTCAGAGCATATTGTAAAGCCGCATGATCCGTGCGCACAATAAACGAACGGCCGTAGAGATACGGCCGAAATTGGCGGAGGAAATAGACAATAGCCAAAAGTTCCCGGCGAGTGATGCAGTAGCGGGTTTCGGCGGGGGACAAAACACGGCTACCGTACGCCACCACGTGTTCTACACCGCCTTTGGACTGTGACAGCACGGCCCCAATGCCCGTGTGACTCGCGTCCGTGTCCAGAATGAAAGGGTGATCAAAATCGGGATAGTCCAACGTCGGCGCCGTTGCCAACCGATCGCGCAGGCCCTTAAACGCCGCCTCCTCTGGCGGTCCCCAACTGAATTTCCATCCTTTACCCGTAAGGAGGTGCAGAGGCCTCACGATCGTTGTGAAATTGGGAACGAATCTACGGTAATATGAGGCAAACCCCAAAAAGCGACGCACATCCTCCACCGTGGCCGGGGTTGGCCAGTCACGGACGCACGCTGTCTTTTCCGGATCCGTGGCAACCCCGTCGGCACTGACTATATGTCCCAAATAGCGCACGGACCGTTGCAGTAGGTGACATTTCTTAGGTTTAAATTTCAGATTGGCGGAGCGCATCCTGGCGAACACCGCCTCAAGTCTCAGTAAATGTTCGTCAAATGTGCGGCTGAAGACGATAATATCGTCTAAATATATCAGACATGTCTCCCACTGCAACCCCATTAATACCAGTTCCATCAACCTCTGAAATGTGGCGGGGGCAGCATTCAACCCCATCGAAAGACAATTAAATTGAAATAGACCCTGCGGCGTACGGAAAGTAGTCTTTTCCCGCGAGGACTCATCGAGGGGAAGTTGCCAGAATCCCGAAGAGAGATCCAGCGTCGAAAAGAACTTTGCCCCCGACAAGGCATCGAGGGAATCATCCATACGCAGCAGGGGGTACGCATCCGCCACGGACACTTTGTTTAATTTGCGAAAATCGACACAAAATCGCAATTTCACGTCTTTATTTTTGACCAAGACTACAGGCGCGCCCCATGGCCTGTTAGACGGAGATATTATGTCCGTAGCCAGCATGTCATCCACTGCTCCACGAACATGGTCTTGCTCCGCCGGGCTCATCCGATGCGAGTTCAACCGAATCGGAGCAGCGTCCCCCGTGTCAATATGGTGGGAAAGCAGGGAGGTGCGTCCCAAGTCCAAATCGTCGGAGCTAAACACATCGGAATAACTCAACAATAGCGCGCGAAGCGCGGATCGCTGTTCCCCGGTCAGGGATGAATTTTCGCCGCACAATTCAGCGATCCAGCGATCATCTGGGGCCACAGGGCCAGAAACTCCGGCAACCATATCCCGGCGGGCCAGATGGTCCTGGGCCGTGAACACAGTAGTGGCATGGGCCACGACCGTTCCGGCCGGCACGCAAACATTCTCCGTACTCCCATTAAGCACCTGCAAAAATGGCCGCCCGTTATGGTTGCGGACGGCGATAACAAAACCCCAGGCGCTCCTTCCCGACCAGGCACCGGTTTCCGATATCGCAAGGGGATAAGCATTTGTGAGCCAGGTGGAATGTCCACAGATACCTCGGATAGCGCCTGCACCTGGCAGACAAGAGCGGGTCGCCCCCAGGGCGACGGCAAAAATGTAATTTTTTGACCCCCCGGTAATTCAATGCAATTTTGATTAACTCTTATTAGAATGGGCATTTTGGCCAGAAAATCAGTTCCCAACAAACACGGAATCGCAAGGGACCTCGAGATCAACACAATTCCCGAGTCCGACACCCCCCCGATGGATATATTGGCGTCCACCTGGCCCACAATGCCCATACTTTCCCCGTTCGCTGCAATGCAGGAATCGTAAACCGAGCACACTGCATCCGGTGGGATGCCCAACAGATGTAAAATTACATCAGATATAATCGTCGCGGACGCACCGGAATCCACTAAAATGCGCACGTCAACCCCCTGTATAGAACCCGGCACAGTGGACGAACCAGTAGCGGCCGCGACAACCCACCGTGCCAATTTACGCCACTGCGTTAAGCCTTGCCGAGTGTCTGGTGCGCACCGACTTGCCTGTCCAGGAGGGTCCTTCCGCGGCACGTCTGTGGTCGAGGCCTCCTGCTGGGGCGGCCCCGGGATACGGGCCCAGCAGTCCCTGGCGTAATGGCCTTTGCGACCGCAGCGGAAGCACGACGTCATTACGACGCACCGCACTCCCCCCATCTCGACGCTCCCGCGTCGGCGGCGCAGATCGCGGCCCCGGTCCACCGCGGGCCGGCCACTGCGCAGAGGCGGCCGTCAATTCCTGCGGGCCCCCCCCATCAGGAACGTACACCGCCTTCTTGGGATCCCAACCCACGGCAGCCCCTTCCACGATGGGCCCCCCCGTCCACGCTGTCACCTGCTTCCAACGGCGCAGATTAAACTGGGCATCCAAACACTCGCAGCCGCCCGAGACGTCAGCTTCTCGTGGCCGCACACCGGCATAGGGATCCCCAAATCTCTTGACAGCTCAAGCATCTTGCCCAAAATCAGGGGTTCGAGTAGGTCAGGCTCCGTCTCAGGGTATGCGGCCATGGCCAATTCCAAGACAGCACCCCTGTATGCCACCGGCGACTCTTCGGGTGCCCGCTGGCGCTGAACGAATCGTCGGTGAGCGTCATCCGGTGGCTCGTACGCTTCCGCCATCTCGTCAAAAACCCCTCTCAGTGTCTTCTTTTTCTCGGCTTTGATGGAACGGAAAAATCTGACCGACTCATCGTCGAGAAGAGTTGGCAGAACTTCCAGGGCCTCTGCGTCAGTCCATCTGGCGGAGCGCACCGCCGCTAAAAATCTGCAGGCGAATGCACTCCAATCGCCTCCAATTGAAAATTATTTAACTGTTGTCAAGTGATGGCTGCGGGTCCTCGCTCCGCCGTCCTCCGCAGACGGCGCGTCGCGTGGCATATTCAAGATGACGTCGCACCGCAACGTGTCAAAGATGGCGACTTCCCGCCGCGGAGGGCGCAAGATGGCGGCTTCCCGCGGTTCTTCCCCTGCCACGCCCAAGATGGCGTCCTCGCTCCTCGTGGCAGAGGGCGCTGGCGGCCCAGGCAAGGCCGCGGTCTGCCGATCACCCCCGGGCCTCCCCGACGCCGTCGCCGGCGTGACGAGGTCGCACAGTTGCGCCAAGACGGTCTTCAAAGTCTACAGCTGGGCCGCCATCTGTCTCCATCGCTGGTCAGCGTCCTCCGGCACGGGCGGATCCACCGACGCGGCGACATCTTGTACTCCCGGCCCACCACTCGTTCCCACTAGGATTTCCTCCACCATTGTTGGCAGCTCCACTGCCTGAGGAAGGTCGTCGTCGTCAGAAGATGTACCAGACGATGGTGCGGGGATATTCTGTCTTCTGAGCTGTTTTGACATGCCGTTTCACTTCTGACACCAGTGTAATAAAGGACTCTTTCACTGGGTCTGTCTCCGTTGTCTTTTATTGTGGTTCGTACAACTTTGCCCACACGGCGTCTCGCTCAGAGTCTCCTCCACCTCCCGCTCGGCAGCCCCTCTGCTGCCGTCGCTCCCGCAGTCTTGCTGCTGGCTCCCGATGCAGCTCCGCTGCTGGCTTTCCACTCAGCCTCTCTGCCCCCGACCTGCAGCCCCATGGCTGCTCTCTCTGCAGCCCCCCTGCTGCTCTCCGTCTCCCCCGTGCCCGGACACCGCTGGCCAACGGTGCCGAGTCCCGACCTGTGGCGATCGCGCCACTTTCCACCTCCTGCCCTGCGTGGCCTCCTCCTGTCTTTATTCTTACACTCTCCCCCCGGCCCTGCCGGTTCCTGCCCTTAAGAGCTCTCCCTTCTCCCCACGTGACCCAACTCCTCCCCCCTGTTACGTCATATCCGCGAGGCCGTTTATGCTCGCATTACAGATAGAAGGGTAAAAATACAATTATCATATTTTTGACTGGCAAATGAGGTTCCAATGGTGTAAATGCTTACCCCGAGCTCTCATACTCTGATGGTGCATTGTCTTTGAGTTATGCGCCTTTTGGCGTCATCTGGTCCAACCCATGTGAGACTAGGCTCTAAGGAAAGCTGTCTCTGGTGTGGACCAATCAACTTCAAGAACAGTGCACATTATCAGAGTTATGTTTTTTGTTTGCATTATGACTACAGGTATTGTGGTCTATGTAAACATGACTCCTTGTAATAAAGGTGTCAGTTTTGTTGCCAGATAGAAGGGTAAAAAAACAATTATGACATCTGCAGTGCCCATGGAGGCCACCTGCTTTGAGTGGCGAGTCCCTGGCTGTACACCTTGCCAGGCTCATTTTTCGTGGCCAATGTTTTGGACAAACTTCGTGAACCCTATAGACCTGTTTGTGACCGGACTTTTTCAATTGAAAGACTTTTTCAACTGAAACTCCGACGTTCTTTCAGGACTGTCTGCACGAGACGCGCCGGGATTTATTGGTGTTCAACTGTTGTGAAATTTGAGGCTTTTGCGTCACAATTATTTGGAGCTTGGTAGGTGAGTTAAACTTTATTAAGGGACAACCTACGTTATCTCAGCATGACGGTGGGGCTCGGGAGTTTGTGTAATTGGAGGGTAGCTGTTGCTTGTGAGAGCATGTGTGGACAAGAAGAGGGAATTTGCATAGGTCCAAGATGGACCAACCTTCACAGAAGTGTGTTGACGTGAGCTGAATTGACAAGAGGATAGTTGAGGTGAGCTGACCCTTTATCTAGTTACCTCTGGCGCCGAGACATCTCTGCCCGATCATCAAGTCAACACATTCCAGGGTGTGCCTCATGTTATGCAAATCAAACTGAAAGACTTTGTACTTTAACCTGCCTCACATTTAGGTGGCTTGTTCCTGGTTTAGTGTCTCAGATGTTGCCAGCCGGAGCTACAAACAGAGACTGCATGAGCTATAGCTCGATACTGCCGTAGCTAAAGCCAGACTACCGGAGCTACAGGCAGAGATTGCCTGAGCTACAGCAAGAAGCTGCCATAGCTACAGCCAGAGACCGCCTAAACAACAGTCAGAGACTGCCTGAGCTACTGCCAGAGACTGCCTGAGCTACAGCCAGATACTGCCTGAGCTACAGCCAGCGTCGTCTCTGAGCAAAGCCACAGGGCCATAGAGAGTGCGGGTCCCAGTGATAGCGGGGCTTCAGGGGAGTTGACCTGCCCCATCTGCCTGGACGCCTTCCGCTTCCCCTGCACGCTGAGCTGCGGCCACTCGTTCTGCCTCAGGTGCGTGTAGGGCGCTTGAGGCCCACAGTGCCGAGTGACCTTCCCTCAGAGGCCCCAGCTGAGCAAGAACTTCACGCTCGCCAACCTGGTGGAGCAGCGCAGTGCCGCAAATAATATGGCCACCGCGGTCTTGTGTGACTTCTGCAACAATGACACGACCACTGCCTCCAAGACCTGCCTCAAGTGTGATACCTCCTACTGTGTGACTCATGTAAAGCCTCATCAGGATAACCCGAAGTTCAGGGACCACGTTCTGGTGGATCCAGGCACGAATCCTGAGGAGCGCAAATGCAAGCCACACAATAAGAAGATCAAGTATTACTGCCGACAGGACGAGAGCTTGGTCTGCACAACCTGCATCATCACAGGAGAACACAAGGGTCACGATATGGCTACGCTGGAGGATGAGCACAAGACACAGGAGGTGAGACGGTCTGCGTGTGTGAGAGGGATCCTCTCCTGTGTGAAGTCATAAAATCCCAGTACGATCTGAACAATAATATCCAACTAAATATTATATCATTCCTTTCTCAGCTGCCAATTGTTTCTTAAAAATTGAACGTTGGTTTAATATAAAGTATGCTGAGGTTATCATAGTTTAGAAATAATACAACTGCATGTTATGATCAATCCTGTTATATGACAAATATATAAATGTGCTCTTCGTATATTTTTATAAAACTGAAGGACTTTAATGCGTACAATGTGTTCTCAAAATGACGTGAGTGCATAGACCGTGGTTCGAATACAAAGCAGTCTAAGGTAGAGAGGAGCATTCACTAAAATGTAAACGAAATGTAAAACGACTGGGACTGCGTGAGCTGCAGTGCTCACTGCTTGCCAGCCTCGTGCCGGTCTGTGCCAGTTTAGCGCCGCACTCTACAGACCAAGTAATTCGTGACCATACTTGTATTTTCATCAAGATTCTCTCCACCTAATTTCTCCGACACTAAACAGTGACATAGGACTGTTGATTAAAACTAAACTAAAACTTGTTTTATTATACTAAGTGAAGCTCACTGAGCTATATAGGTCTTTTTCAGAGGCAAACCTGGCCAAAAATGACAGCTCAAAGAAGTAGCTTATGAAGTCGAAAATCATAGCAGCCAAACACAATAAACGCACGTATGTAGAGGGAAAACAGGAGAACCCGGACAAAAATCCATGCGACCATGGGGAGAACAAACTCCACGTATACATGTGTCAGGGTGGGATCGAAACCACGACCTCCTGTATACCAGGCAAGGCAGATTAACATCTCGTGGCGCCTTTTCCACCCACTTCTCAGAGCCCTACCATCTACTCAGAGACCCACCCACTGCTCAGGTAGCCCTGCCCATGACTCAGGTAGCAGTGGAGAGTGATTGGGTCCACAGGCTTAGGCTCCTGCGCGTGCTATGTGAGCCCAGCTATACGTATGCTGAACTTCTTTTGCACCAAACGTATCCAACCGTGCTTATCAAAAGTGCGGGGGAATGGCAACTAAACGCAAAATGCTCCAGGAGGCGTGTGAGCTCCTCGTGAAATCGGTTTCCTGCAGGCTCACTCCCCCAGCCTCCATTGCTGCACAGGGGCCGCTGCAGCCTGGAGATGGGACCGTCACTGTGGAGGGGTCAGTGTGGAGCGGGGGTGAGAGGGGGCGCTCAGAGAGTGAGTGGAGTCTCCCCTGGTGACGTCTCTCACAGAAACAAGTGGGAGAGGAGATGCGGGTGGTGGAGGAGAAGAGGAGGGAGGCGGAGGAGTCCATAAAGCGGATGGAGGCCGCACTCAGGGACGTGCAGGTAACCGCATCTGTACCAGACCCTGTGACCTCGTAACTCGACCCTGAGTAGGGTTTGTGATGGAGGACAACTCCATTCATTCACGTGGACTTCCATTGGCTCCGAACACATCGTGGGACTAAAGACACAACGGTCAATGCGCCTCAATACCCAGGACAAGCAAAGAAGTGGTTCTCATATGCAATGAGGAACTGAATCAGTCGTGGAAATTCCACATTCTTAGGATGGGAGCCTGATATCCCCATGTGAACTGCCACTTCATCTTCTGTTATATATCTATTCTGGCCAGATGAGGTGGCACATACCTGTTATCCAGTACATTGGTGGCAGGGTTCACGTTATATATATGTTTACAATATGTATCGCATTGTGCTATAAACCAAAGTCACCGGAGATCAACTCCCTGCGATGGCAAAGTAATGAGTAATATCTGTAAAGCCATAACCGCACAATACACTGAATGCACGCAGTGTGCTTTATACGATGTGCATATTCACGTAACCTATTCACGTAGTACACTCCCATTCAGTATATTGAAATGTGCTATGTGAGCATTAAAGTTAATTTTAATTTAAAAGGAGTATTCGACAGCACAGAGACACTTCGAGGTTAGGTCACCAAGTTGCATGTCCAGTTCTCACCGGTGCACCGATCTTATCACTACCCAGTCACGAAACCCAGCTCTCGTGTCCAGTCCCAGCTGGGCTTGTTTTGTGGTAGGAATACAGCTTGGAAGCGTTGCTGATCAGGCATCTTCAATTATGGCCTTTTGCTTTGTCACTCTGCTCGCATTACACACACCTTGCGCAACTCTACGACAAGATGGGGTTCATATTTAATTATAATTTAAATTCCTTTTTTTCCTCATATTTCTGATGTAATATTTGCGATTGAGTCCTGTTATTTGCAGGGTTGATAGGTGACAAATCTAGATTGACAAATGTATTGTTCATTGGCTACCGAGGCCGTGATGCACAGGAGGGGTTCATCTTCCATCAGGTCACCGGGCAGAGGTGTAGCTAGGATATTTTGTGCCCGGGGACGAACTATAAAATTGGCGCCCCCCCCCCCCCCCCCGTTAAATCACATTTTCGAATAAGGTATAACAATTAAAATTTTAATGAAACATTGCATTTAAAGAAGCAAATTTATAGAAATAATATTACATGGCTCATTCAGTTACTGGTTGACAGTCTACAAAAGATAAATTTTTCTTGATTTCACTGTCGCAAACTGGTCAATCACGTAATTAAAATCTGTTTTTTCCAATGTTTCTCTTTCAACGCTAAGAAGAACAAGATCGCTGAGACGATCTTGTCCCATTGAAGCACGCAAATACGACAAAATAAGTTTCAATTTGCTGAACGACCGCTCACAGCTTGCAATTGAAACTGCTATTGTTAATACAATTTGCAGTGAAATTCGTAAAAATTCGGAAATATGTCGTCTCCATAAAACACAATAAAACCAAGAAGATCCAAAGGAGTTTCTGGTAGAACTTCATTCCGGTTACTGAGCAGCATTTTGCAATCTCCAATTTCTGTGAAAAGTTTGTGGCCATTGATATCGGTGTCATTGAAATTTCCAAAATCTGCAATTTCGACGAATTGCATCGACATCTGTGTCGGATAGAAGAGTTTTGACACCCAGCAGAAATCCAAATTTTGTGTTCAGGTCTTTTAGTCGTAAAACCCGTGTTGACATCTGTTGAAGTCGATAAAATACAGTGAGGGAAAAAAGTATTTGATCCCCTGTTGATTTTGTACGTTTGCCCACTGACAAAGAAATGATCAGTCTATAATTTTAATGGTAGGTTTATTTGAACAGTGAGAGGCAGAATAACAACAACAAAATCCAGAAAAACGCATGTCAAAAATGTTATAAATTGATTCGCATTTTAATGAGGGAAATATGTATTTGACCCCCTCTCAATCAGAAAGATTTCTGGCTCCCAGATGTCTTTTATACAGGTAACGAGCTGAGATTAGGAGCAGACTCTTAAAGGGAGTGCTCCTAATCTCAGCTTGTTACCTGTATAAAAGACACCTGTTCACAGAAGCAATCAATCAATCAGATTCCAAACTCTCCACCATGGCCAAGACCAAAGAGCTCTCCAAGGATGTCAGAGACAAGATTGTAGACCTACACAAGGCTGGAATGGGCTACAAGACCATCGCCAAGCAGCTTGGTGAGAAGGTGACAACAGTTGGTGCGATTATTCGCAAATGGAAGAAACACAAAAGAACTGTCAATCTCCCTCGGCCTGGGGCTCCATGCAAGATCTCACCTCGTGGAGTTGCAATGATCATGAGAACGGTGAGGAATCAGCCCAGAACTACACGGGAAGATCTTGTCAATGATCTCAAGGCAGCTGGGACCATAGTCACCAAGAAAACAGTTGGTAACACACTATGCCGTTGAAGGACTGAAATCCTGCAGCGCCCGCAAGGTCCCCCTGCTCAAGAAAGCACATTTACATGCCCGTCTGAAGTTTGCCAATGAACATCTGAATGATTCAGAGGACAACTGGGTGAAAGTGTTGTGGTCAGATGAGACCAAAATGGAGCTCTTTGGCATCAACTCAACTCGCCGTGTTTGGAGGAGGAGGAATGCTGCCTATGACCCCAAGACCACCATCCCCACCGTCAAACATGTAGGTGGAAACATTATGCTTTGGGGGTGTTTTTCTGCTAAGGGGACAGGACAACTTCACCGCATCAAAGGGACGATGGACGGGGCCATGTACCGTCAAATCTCTGTCCACATCGATCCTCCAGGCTGTGCATCTTGTTTTGGCGTTTTCTACAGCAACTTGGCTCAAATCATCACGAAGCTTGACAAATTCATGCTCCAAAAATTCAAGATCAGTTGCTGCTTCCTTGAAATTCATAATAGGATCCTGTAAGCGCTTCTGAACACGATCAATTTTTCCAAGAATGACATTCCAGAAATGTAATTAAACTATGAAGTTAAAATTTAATACGCATGCCTGTAACTGTTCTGCATCACTTCTGGTTTCAGGCGTCATAGTTACGTCCTCCGATAATTTGTCTAGTTCATCCAGTCCTTCATAGATAGCTTTAACAGCTTCTGATCGTGCACTCCAGCGTGTTTCAGGCCGTCGTAGTTTCCGCCACCAAAAAACAGGCCAGTGACTAAGGCTGAAAAACTGCGCCTGTCTGTTGTTTGGGACGTTCTTCCATGTAAGTTCTTAATAGACGCGCGTACCAATATGTAATTACATGACATATAGGCTTTGTGTGGCGAGATATATAAACGTTTAGGTTGAGGTGCAGATTTGTGCAGTAGTTTCAGGCTGCCGCGCCTGCCGCAATAAGTTATAATGTAACGTTGTAAGCCTCATTTTGGCGCCCCTTTACCTTGGCGCCCGGGGACATATGTACCCCCCTGCCCCCCCCCTAGCTACGCCTCTGCACCGGGGTTACAGGTCAAAACGTCTCCCCTAGTGTGGGTTGCATGGCCACAGTGGCAAGAGTGTGGATTGATGTTAATGCATCTCTACGGGTCACGATGGGTCTTTATGTATCTATGAGTGTTGCCATGGGATTAGTATACAATCCATAGTTTGAATTGTATGGCCAGTCACAACTGCCCTATATTGACTCAAATGGGTCTCTATGCGTCTCTATTTGTCTTCATGTGTCTCTGTGTTTCTCTATGGGTCTCTATATCTGAGTCTCTATGTATTTACATGGATCGTGAGGTATATCTATGGGTCTCTATAGGTTTACTTTATTGCCCAGAGTTTGCGTTGTGTGGCCACAGTCGCTTTTCCATTCATGATTCAGGAAAGAGTGGTGTAAACGACACCTCCCTAAGACATAGATCAACCATTGCGAGATTAACTCCTCCTTTAATTAATTAATAAAAACAAACCACACGCCCTGCCAGGGATCGATGACCGGGGTGAGGCAGCGAATCAATGGCGATTTCGCCCGCTTGAGAGCAGCTCTGGACGAGGACGAGAAGGCGGCTCTGGCTCGTGCGGCCAAGAAGGAGCGCGAGCTGCTGACCCAGATCGAGAAGAACATCGCTCACTACCAGCGCGAGATCGGCGAGCTCCAGGCAGCAGCCACTCGTCTGGAGGGCCTAGCGCAGGAGAGGGACTCGCTCGCCTTCCTGCAGGTGAGCGATGAGTCTACGGTGTCGCTATTTGCACATAGCCCTCGGCAGCGTCAGAGTTGAGGCTCCTGAATGAGGTTTTCACATCGACTGCGCTTTGTCACGCACGGCCGGAAATTTTGCCCGGTCCTTGCATGCCGTCATCCCCACTCACAACGATGTTTGCAATGTAAGTCAGTGTTGATGCTCATGAGGTCATAAGCCAAGACTTTGTGGTGTAAATTCCACCCGCGGTGTTGGAGTGGGAAATCCACTGATCCCATGGGAATGGAGGCAGAGTCAGTCATGCACCTCTCTCTCTCTCTCTCCCATAGGGGCACCTGGAGGAGACGTGCAGGTAAAAGACCACTATCACTCATGACTCGACACACGACAACATGGGACTGAGTGTGGGGTGCGGGCAGTGAGACACTGGCTATGTGTGGGGATGCTGTGTGTGTGATGATGCTGAGTGGTGGTGCTGATTGTGATGCTGCGAGTGTCCATGCTGTATGTGGTGATGCTGTGAATGATTGTGATGTGAGTCGTGATGCTTTGTGTGATGTGTCTATGTGATGGAGCTGTGATGATCCTGTGAGTGATGGCCGTGTCTGATCTGCTTTCACAGGAGAGGGTGGCATAGAGAAGCTCCACCCTCAGCTCCCAGCCAAGAGGACATTGCCTCACTTAAAGGCACCGAGGGAACTGTGGCCAAACTCCTGTGTGAGTTCTGCAGTGTGAAACATGGGTGATGGAGCCAACTTCACAATACATTATTACCGTGTATGTGTGTGCACGAGGTCGACTCAGCCTCAAATGATTACCTGGTGTTGTGTTTAAACATCGCCACGAGGGAGACAAAGGTGGTCAGGCGTGGTGCTGGCCACCCACCTCGTGTGCCGTGCTGGTCTTCATAGACACTCGCTAACAGCACTTGCCCCAATGGTCTGTTGAGGCTACACAGAGAATCTTTGTCTTTGTTCACGGCCTATTCAAGGACCCTACTGAATACAGCCACGAGACTAAGTGTGGCGTTGTTGGGTAAATAATCAGCATTACGAGTCAGGGGTAATTGTAATGTTGAGGTGGATTGTGTGGCTGTTAATGTGTCTGTGCATTTGTGCGTGGGGGGAGTGGTGGCATAGTGGTTAGCACATTGCACTACGAACCCAAGTTCCCTGGGTTTGATTACCCACCATGACTAACATCAGTGGCAGGTGATATCTGACCCAGTCCTGGGACTCTACGAGGCAGTCTCAACCTCAAATGAGTTAATTCTAGATTTGAAGCTTTCGTAACTGCAATGATTGATATTCTTAGGCTTTTTCGGTAAAGTCACGTAGGTAAAACATTTAAATTAATAAAATAAAAATAGAAATCACGACGTTTCGGAGGCAACACAAGCTGCCGTCTTCAGGTGGAACCGTCACAGCACGATTGCTGTTTCAAGTAAGAGAAATTCCAAGAAAACAGTCCTTGTATATGTAGTGGTGGTATTGACATGCGCCGACAGTGATGGATCACGGGGCGCGGGGTTGGGCACGCGATGTGGGCGTGGTATGGACGCGCGCGCCGGTGGTAAGGCGCGCTGACACAAGCTGGGAAAAGAGGATCGTAGCGAGTGCGCAGTGATTGGTCAGATAAGTGGGTGCTCTCAGCGACGTCCGCAGGAGGGGTATAAAGGGAGACGCGCGAGAGCACTCGTGGTCAGTGTTAACCAGTTGAAGACCGAAGACGGGGTGGAGGAGGTAGTGGCCCGAGACCCCTAGTCCCGCCGTCCTTGTGAGGGCCGGGGCCCTGTGCGGCTCGGAGCCGAGACTGGGGGATCGTAGTCCGACGCCCGTGTGGGTCGGGACGGTGGTACCCAGAGCCGAGACGGGCACCCCGGCTGGGTGTGTCCCGGAAGGCTACGGGGCGTAAGAGCCCGTGTCAGTATAGCTGAGTGGGTGTTAGTCACCCGAGTAGCTAAGGAGGGTGTTGGTCACCCGTGTAGCTGAGTGGGTGTTGGTCACCCGTGTAGCTGAGTGGGTGTTAGTCACCCGTGTTGCTGAGTGGGTGTTAGTCACCCGTGTAGCTAAGTGGGTGTTAGTCACCCGAGTAGCTAAGTGGGGTGTTAGTCACCCGTGTAACGAAGTACGGTGTTAGTCATCCGTGTAACTACAAGTTGGTGAAAATAAAGAGTGTGCTACCCGTGAAGTCGTCTCCTGCCGAGTTACTACTTTACATATATATACTGGTTGAGGGTGGGAGGAGCCAAGGCAGGCACCTGTATATTATTATTGTGAATGGGGCTGAGCCTTTGTTATGTAGATGAAACAGCACTTTGCTACGTTGCTGGGATTAATTCTAGATTTGCCAAATATGTGTGGTAAAACTTAAAGCAGAAAAAACCAGTGTGTGAAAAAAGAAGAAACTATGCGATAACTGAATAGTGCCTGTCAAATGAGATTGTCCAAATATGTGTAGTTAACTCTTTTTTTCATGGTTAATAACATCTTTCCAATGATTACTAAGTTTGTACCCATCATCACGGTTGAAATTATGTCTGTGTTTGTATATTTGGATGGCTTCGTGTACAAACCTTTGATGGTAGCCAGGAGGTTTGCAGAGCACCTTGGTCTCTGAAAAGACAATTTCATGAGAGCCCACAGTTTTGCCGTGTTTCAGATCTGACTTGTGCTCGCGGACACGATCAGAGATATGACGTTTCTCCAATGTAGCAATCACCACAACTGCAACTCAGTTTGTAGACTCCAGGGTATTGTAAGTCAGGAATGACATCTTTCACAGATGGAATTAGATCACGGATTTTATGTACTGTACTGAATCGGACTTGGATCTTATGTTAATTTCGAATTTTGGAGATCTTTTTGGTCACGCCTGCTATGTATGTGTAATGCGAGCGTAAATGGGCAGGTTGGATGTGACGATCCGAGAGGGAGGAGTCAGGGTCACATGGGAGAGGGAGGAGTCACGGTCACGTGGGGGAGAAGTTATAGCGGGGAGACAGGAAGACATCTGGGCAGTCGAGGGAGTGAAGAGGGGAGACCACATTGGGTGGCCGCCGTGCCTCAGCCTGGTGGCTGAGGGGCTCATGACGGCGCCAGCCAGCGGGGTGAGGAGAGAGCAGAGTGCGCGGGGCGCACAGGGCGTGCAGGGGTTGCACGGAGCAGCCGAGTAGCTGCAGAACTAGCGGAGGCTAGCAGAGGGTGCGAGGTTGCACAGGGCAGCAGAGTAGCTGCAGACTAGCGGAGGCTAGCAGAGGGTGCGAGGTTGCACAGGGCCGCAGAGTAGCTGCCTAGCGGACCAGCAGTGGGGCTGCATAGGGGGCAGCAGGGTAGCTGCAGAGTGCGCGGGGCGCAAGGAGAGACGACGCTGGACCGAGGAGGAGGCCAGCGGGGTGAGCGGAAGACGAACACAAATAAAGGACCGACGGAGATCAACATCGTGTGACGGAGTCCTTTATTACATTGGTGTCAGAGTGGACTTTTTCAAGGCAAAATAACATCGAGGAAGACGGCCGAGAACTTGAAAAAGCGTAACCCACTTGTTACGTCTTCCGACGACGAAGAAATGGCCGCCGGCGCACGTCCTCCAGCGGCTACGTGGCGGTCCAACTTGAATCGCTGCAGGCCGTTCTGCTGGATTTTGTCACCTTGGTTGCGCCGGCGACGAGGCCGGATTGGCCACGCGGCGGGCCTGGAAGCGGTGAGTCTCCGAGTGGGGCTGCGCCTTCCGCCATTGGGGCCTGGCCCACGCTTCCTGCCCTCTCCAACACGCGGCAGGGCGCCGCCATATTGGGTGTGGTCGGGGAGAAATGGCGGGAAGCCGCCATCTTGTCTTCACCGCGGCGGGAAGACGCCGCCATCTTCAACATCGCGGCGGAGAGGCGGCCGTGCGCTGCCATCTGGAGGCGCCGCGGGGTGATTCCATCTGTATATGCCTGCCATTGTTGATTGGGTGATGCATGAGTTGTGGTCACATCGGCCTATGGCTGATGGCTGACCTGACAGCCCGGAGGCGAAACGCTCCATGGTATGTCTCAAACTAATGGGCCGTGTGCTCATATGGCTCAGGGAGTCGTGGTTCAGTTGTGCGGTGGCAGACTGAACCTGGTGTGCCGGGGGCTCACGGGATTTGGAGTAGAGGTTCCGTTACGTGCCAGCAAACGGGGTGACCTGGCTGGCATGGAGCGGGGATTCTCTTTGTGGGTCCTCCAGCTGGAAGGGCCGCGGACTTGTTCCGCTCTGGGTTAGGGCGTTATTGAATCTATAAGAGAACATTGCCCCGTGGGGGGGGTCGATGGGGTCTGGCATTGCCGGGGGATGAACCTTCCCTGGGCTATAAAGCGTCAGACTATAAGATGCTGGTGTGTGTCCATCGCTGATAGGATAGTAAGGGAGGAGCATGGCCAAGTTGCTGCTCATCCCCGAAATTGCACTAGCCGAGAGTATGGTCAGTGGATGTTGCTGTAGTTTGACGACCACGGTGAGGGTTAGGACGAGTTAAACGTTACCGCTGGGGAGCGTGGTTCTCTCCACGCGAGGGTGTGCGACTGAGGGCTTTGTTGAGAGTGACCGTTGGTACATGCTGTGTACGTGCGATGTCTGTGCTGGTCCTCAAGGGAGGACTGCTGGTGGGCAAGAGCAGGAATTTTGTTGTTGTTCTTGTTGTCACGTCTAAATAATATTGTTGTTAAAATGTAAATACTGGGGCATCCATCGCGTCTATTTTGGGTATTTATTGGGGTTTTCTTAAGCGGGCCGGATTTACATCATCTCCACTACCCTGGGGCCGGGTGGCTGTCGTGTACGACATGCGGATGTGCGTTGTTGTGCTGTGCCTCAGAGGATTGGATTCTCCTTCTCGTCACAGATCTTCGGCGCCTGCCACACTGAGTGTTACCTGGTGTGCTAACTGGATGAGGACTTAAAGGAGCAATTGAGCGCCCGTTCGTCATTCCTGCTCTACCACTTGCTCTTTGACGTTGGACTTGAGCCGAGCGGATGGAACAGCAACATGGA